GCGAAAAAAACTCACAAAGGTCTACTAATTACGACATTTAAGAAATGGGAATGCCAGTCTGATTTTTCGTATGAATCGTCCAGAGGGCGTATCACTAAACTCACCTGGGATGTATGCACAGAACACGAGAGCGAGATACGACGAGAGGCACGATTACGAGGCAAGTTGGTCATTAGATTTGTAGGCTAATCGCTATGAAAAATATTATCAAACAGTATTGGTTATTCTATAATTTACTGGTTGTAGCATGGTACCTTTATGAATAAAACATTCGTCACAAGGTGTAGTAATGCTAATGTTAACTGTTGGTAGAACTAATGATGACGTGTGTTAAATTTGAAGGTTGTTTGAAAAAAATGCCGACTGTAAAGTTTTTTTTCGAGGTAGAAATTCTCGGTCGGTCGGGTTACCGGAAACACACTACTTTTTTTTCTACGCCTAATGTTTGCTTTGCTTGTGGTTATTAAAACGTCAGTCGTTTTGTAGTTTGACCGATGCACGAGCATTAAGTATTTGCTAAGTTACAGAGGACTATCGGTGCACATTGAACCCAAGTCGTGACGTTTGCTTGAATAATTTTATTGATGTTATGGAGTAATCTTTTTCAAAGTACATTATGGGTTCCTATATTATGGCAAAGTTTGAATAGCTTAGCTTTAGTTTTTTCTTTAAAAAAATGCAATCCATCCCTTCATTAAAAAAACAAAAACATTTTGTCAGTTCATGCTAATAAGGCCATTACATTAGCATTTTCATGAGTAATAAATTAAACATTGAATTCAGCATGGCCAAATACATTAATATGTAAAGTTTTGCAGGTATATGTTAGGAAATAATGAAGTTACTGTGAAACTCCTCTACAACGAAATCATGTTTGCAGCAAGAATTTTTTCACAACAGGGGGTTTTTCACTGTAGCAAATTTGATCTCAGATGTAAGCACACACACACCCACACACACAAATGTATGTATACACCCACACACAAAAGTATGTGTACTCTATTTTTATTCCAATCGTGCATAAGTATGAGCACACACTTATTTGACACTTCATATTGTCAGTGTAGAAAGAAATTACGAAATTTACGATCAGCATTCACTTTCACTTACATCAATTTCTTGGATATTGTCTTTGATTTTGCTTGCTGTGTCTTTCATTTTGATCACTTTTACCCTCTCTTCCAGCATCACTTACATCAATTTCTTGGATATTGTCTTTGATTTTGCTTGCTGTGTCTTTCATTTTGATCACTTTTACCCTCTCTTCCAGCATCAGAAGTCGTCTTAGCTGCTTGACAATCCAAAGGTCCGTTTTGTGGCCATTTTAGCAATGCAACGTGCATCCTCGTCTGAATCTAACAATAACAAATACTTCCTGGCATGCAATGAACTTTTAAACCAGCCACGGGACGCTTCGTAGTCCTCAATGGCCATAGTTAGCTCTCGAAGGCTAAAAACCTTACGCTAATTGGAGCACTATGAGAGAGAGGCGCTCCAGTTAGCGTATGGTTTTTAGCCTTCGAGAGCTTACTACGGCCATCGAGGACTACGAAGCGTCCCGTGGCTGTTTTTAGCATGATAACAAGTAAAGCATTCGAGGAAACGTTCGTTTATTTGAATGTCCGTTGAGCCACGGGACGCTTCGTGGTCCTTGATGGCCATAGTTAGCTCTCGAAAGCTAAAAACCTTACGCTAACTAGAGCGCTTAATTAGCGCTAGCGCTAATACTATTAGCGCTCCAGTTAGCGTAAGGTTTTTAGCCTTCGAGAGCTAACTATGGCCATCAAGGACCACGAAGCGTCCTGTGGGTGCTTTTAGCATCATAACAAGTAAAGCATTCGAGGAAACGTTCGTTTATTTGAATGTCCGTCGAGCCATGAGCAATTTACTCTGAGCAGCTAATCGGATGCTACAGATCTTCAGTATCTACACACACAGACAGTGAGGTCCCTCTTGGCCAATCGGAGGCCAGAATGATGCTCGGTAAGCCAATGGCAGAGCAGCTATGAGTCTGTTGAGTCCAGGAAACATCGTTCACTATGTAAACCAGTGTGGTGGTTGCTGTTGCGTTTTTTCGAACGAAGCAGTAGAGGTCGCTGTTGGATAAGACTTCGTTGTAGTGAATGTTTTCGCTAGGCTGGAGCAGAGAAAATGATTTCGTATAACGCAACAGGGGGGTTTTCGTCGTATGGGGGGCAGCAGAATGGGAATT